TAGCTTCGAGCCTGGGGTGTTGGCTGCAGCCTGAGTGACTGGGATAGCTGCTGATTTTGATTTCTCTCCCTGCCCCCCTTCCTCTGTCTGCTGTCCTACAGTATCTAGCAGGGTGCAATGAGCATGTGCCAGGGCCCAGCTCACTGCAATGACCTTTTTCTCCTTAAAGTTATCATGGCACTTCTCTTTCAGGTACTTCAGCACCTCAGCTGGATTCTGAATTTGTTCACATGGAAAGTCCCAGGCTATAGAGTCAGAACATTCCTTTAAGATTTGGCCCATATCCTCCTATTTCCCACACCACTCAGGATTTCTCACACCTGGGTCTACTCCTGGGTCAGGGGTCTCATCAGCCCCTCTAGAAATCTCAGCCCTCATTCTAGGGAGACTGCAGACTGTATAGAGAAAGCTTACCAGATTAAACACCAGAAAGATGGTGGCTTTAACCATCAGGGGAAACAGAACATTCTCTAATAGGGAGGTAAGAGATTCCAAGGACAAGAAGGAAAGCAAAGGCCTCATGCCCTGCTTCCCCTCATGCCCTGCTTCCCCTCTAACAAACTGGCTGCACAAGCATGACCATGAGCCATGCATTCCTGGAACAGACTTCAGCACCTTTATAAACCCCCTGCAAGCCATTACACCCAAGCCCAGCCCAATGGATATTCTGGTCAGTGCCCTTCTACTGCAAAAACTACCTATTAGGGACAATACCAGAGCTATTCCTCAATAAGAAAATAAACCTAGGGACCATAGTGGGATTAAGATCTCAAAAAACCCTAGGGACCAGAAACACATGCAGGCCTTCACCCCAAGAGACACTATGAATTCAAACTACATAGCCAGTAACTGCTCTATACCAACACAAAGTAATTGGAACAAAAATATGATTAGAACAGGGGTTTTTCCACTCTCTCCAGCCACGAGATGGGCAGCAAAATATTTGTCCTAGTTTAGGGCAAATTTGGGAGAAAAACCTCTGGAAGGAGCCCCCAGAAAACAAACCCCCATTACCCCTCCCCCCCTGCACCTGGTTCAGGGAGAATTTTCTCGGAGGGAAGTGGAAAAAAACCTGTTTATTTAACAAACGAAACACTCCCCAGCACCAGAAAATGAACAACACCAGATGACAAAAAACTCTTTCACCACTCTGAAGAGATGACAAATCCAGAAAATCTCTCTTGGGAATGATCGCCCGGGTCTGGGCACTGGGGATTGCTCTCCAGCACTGGGGATGGCTGCTGCAGATCACAAAGCACAGCCTCTCGGTGTTTTCCCAGGTCGCAGTCCGGAGCAGGTTGGAATGATATTCAGGAAAGGGAAAAAACAGTCCAGGGAAAAATTTGGAATGTTCAGCTAAACTAACAAGCAAAAGCAAAAGCAGAAGCAAGAGCAAGCAAGCAAAGCAAGCCAGCAAAAGTAAGCAAGCAAAGCAAAAGCCAGCCAGCCAGCACTAGCCTCTTCTAGACAATGGGGGGAGGTGAGCCGGCTGATAACAAGACAATACAAACCTTCACTTTCAGAGTCAGTTCTGAAAGCGCAGAACATAATATCAAACAAAAACAGAACACATGACTGGGGATACAAGCACCATAACGTCACCCTAGGACAGTGCCTGCTAAATTTTTAAGAAGCAAAGCAAGGATTTTGTCATTGTCCATGGTTCATCTTGTTTTCCCTGAGCAGAGCTCAGTATTGTGTGTACCTCAGATACTTTATGGCATACAGTGCATACATTCTGCATAAAAACGGACTTCTCATAATCAATGTAGTTCATTCTGGGAATGGCTAAAAAAAAAAATATTGGTGTAATGAGAATTTTCTTCAAAGAGCCTAAAGAAGTGTTTAGTTTCCTTCCATCTTCTCAAGAAGATGATTTTCAATTAGTTACATATGGTTGAAAGGCCATGTTAGCATCTAACAATAAAACATAAGCTCTTTCTAGTGGTGGTTCACCAATTTTGGAGCAAGTTATTGTAGCTGTGCTGGTACCAATGTTCCTTGTGAAGAGATGACAATGGGATTCTCATCAATTAAAAGGCCTAAACATCCCCCTTGTGGGCAAAATACAGTGTCAAAAAGTGATCAGAATTTTGGCCCATTGAATTAAGTGATTGTTTATGTTTTGAGCAATTCTGGGAGAGGCTGGAAAGCTTCCACACCTTCAGATAAAAAATGTGTGCATGCAGATTCCATGCCTTACTTTGACACATATTCCTACAGACACCCAGGCTTAGTTCCTAAGAAAAAAAACTTAAAACATTTATTAGCAATTGAGTAATGCAGTTTTGGGTCCATTTCACTGAAAGTGAACAGTCATATATTTTGCAATTTTGTATTAAATAACTGTGATATGAGGTTCCACTGGGAATAAAAGACAATGTGACCAGTGTTAATTTTGAAATCACAGTGTAAGATTTGTTGCAATAAATCATGACAAGTAATTTAACATGCAGAAGATTCAATAAATCTACATATAGACCAAGAATACATTTCAGATAATACAAGTGTTTGACTCCTGGCATGTGTTCCTTTCTCCCACTGACTTTTTTTAAAATTTAGTTTTAAGTAAAAACCTTCTAGGGTTCCTTGAGGTTTTTGTTATATGACAAGAAGAGCATCTGATACATTGAAAGGCCCAGGACCCCAAAGTAACACTTGCTCTTTTAGAATAAGTTGGTCCTGCCTGTGCCTAACAACAGAAAGGAATACCTGACACCCTTGGCAGAGGTGCCCCAGTGCTCTTTCAGGGGTTTGTTGGTTGATGGTTTGTTGCCACAGTATCAGTGAGTCAACACAAAACACTTCTAGAAGGAAGCATAACATAAATACTTCCCCCTCCACTTTCTTAGTTTCTTTTTTCGTTGTTCATTTATTAATCTCGCTTTTTAGTTGTGAAAGTCACATTCCTGATGATCCTTTTTTAGGATGCAGAGTCAAGTCTGTCTGCCAGACACCTGCAGTCCTCTCCAGTGAAGGGGGATTGTGCTTTAGAGAAGGCTCTGGCTCTTCAGGCCTTTTCACCAGCTCCAGCATGTGTCACCTCCACTGTTGATGTGAGAAATTACTCGGGACTGAGATGAGGGCAGTGCTCAGACATACTAAGCAAATGGGACACTTGCCAAGATGTTAAGAGGTCACAGACTGGCAGTTGAGAGACAAGAGCACATATCAGCTCATACTTCCCAGATTAAGAAATATGACTTGGAAAGGTTTTGTCATTGCCTTTAATGCTATGCACTTGAAGGAAAGCAGCTAATTAAACCTCTCAGCTGGTAAAGTAGAATTTACTGCAAAAGCTGTGTTGTAGTTCCATGAAAAAAATGTCCTCTGAATATTTTAGAAATTTCCATTTCTAAACTCTGCTTTTGTGTTCTTTCGTCTCAAATGTTTGTTTTGCTAAATGGGATCAAACAGAAACACTGCTGGAAATCTCTCAGCTGTTGCTTCCAGAGCTTCTGAAGATACAAGTGTCCAAGATTTTGCAAAGCCAGGAAAGCTTTCATGACACTGCCTCACAGAGTGACCAACTCCAGAGTGACCACGGCTCCAGCCATGTGGAAACTTGGGTCATTCAGCTCATGGCTGGCCTCACCAGAGGAGACTCCAAACACCTGCTGCAGTCCTTCCCTCGTGTCTCTGGACAGCTGCTGCTTTGCAGGACACTGTCCAGAGTCCTGCTCCAGCACCCTCCTTCAGAGCTAGGAAATAATACAGCTGTAAACCTCCTCTCCCAGTACATCACAAGAAACTGGGCTTATATGGATACTTCCAGCCCTTTCCCAGTGGCCACAATTTCTCTGGATACTCTGGCTAAATTGCTGAGAAATGTCAAGGATTCTCTTTGGAGGAAAGCTCTTCAACTATGGCAGTGGTAGAGCCAGGCTCCCCAGAGAAGAGCAGAGCGCCCAGCACACGTTGTGTACCACAGAACACTGCAAACAAGATATCAACCCCAGTTCCTCACATCTCACACTAATCTGCTTCCATGGTCATTCTGCAGCATCACTGCAAATACAGCAAAGGTTATTTTTTGCTCCCTCAGAACTGTTCTATTATTTTCTTTCATGAAAGAATGACTCCCTAAACCAACACTTTCAGAAGCACTTGATCTTTCCAAGGGCTGTACACATACCAGGAGGCAATTTTTGCCCTGATTGATCTGCCTGTAGAAATTTCTCTCCCATTTGAAGTGCAAGATGGAAAAAAAACCCACTGTATTGAAAACACAAAACATGCAGACACTGTTCACTATTTATGTGGTGCCTATTATGTACATGGTGAGAAAGTTAAATTCACAGCATTTATCTTATGGAAACTTCAGAGAAAAGCATGCACTTGATGCATGGCAGCTCTTTGGAAGATAGTGTTCTCCTATATTTTTTTTTTTTTTTTTATTTCTTCACCTGTCTTTTAAAGCGGAGGAAGATGGTTTAGCTTCTATTTTGTAGACCGTAGAATAGCTTCGGTGCCATAACCAATGCTACAGAGACTGAAAGATCCCTGAGAAATCTGAGTTCTGGGAGTGATCGGGATGCTGCCCCAAGACCAGTTCCAAATGGGTGCTTCCTCCTCCATTCGCTTACAAATAAGAGAACAGACTTCGAGCACGAATATGAGCCACGAGTATCTCTGTTCGTGCAGTTGCCTTGCTTCGGAACGAAGCAAGGTCATTCCATCGTTCACATGTCTCAGAATTGACTGCCGGGTTGTTAAGATACATGTGCTGCTGGCATAAACTCCGGAGGAGGAGAATTCGGGGGGACAAGCGGAAGCCCAGAGGCTGAGGCACGGTGCTTAAGGCAGAGAGAGATGGAGTGGAGGTGCTGATGGAAAGGATCGCAGGGGAGGGTGCGGAGGGCAGGCAGCAGGGCAGGGCTGAGCGCGGGCAGGAGCGGCGCGGGCCCCTCGGCGCGGGCACAGAGCGGTCGGGCACGGGGCCGGGACGGCCAGGGCGGGGCCCGGCGGGGCCAGGCCGAGGGCCCCGCGGGGCGGGCGGGACGGGCAGGCGCAGTGAGCGCGCAGCGCTCCGGGTCCATGGAGACGGCGGGGCCGCAGCCCACGGCAGGGCCGCCGCCCGCGGTGGGGCCGCAGCCGGGGGCCGAGGAGATCGACATGTCCCTGGGTACGTGCGGGGCTCTGCCGGGCGTCTGGGCCGGACCGGGCCCTCCGTACGGGCGGGAGAGCTGGGATGGCTGTGTGCGGGATGGCTCGGGCCGGGCTCGGGCCGGTGGTGGTCCCGCTGTGCGGGTGCCCCTCTCTGAGTGGCAGCACGGGCAGAGGGGCCGTGTGCGGGCCCCGGGCTCGGCGCTGGGCTGGCAGCAGCCCGGAGCTCACGGCAGGGCGGCCCGGGGGACTCACGCAGAGCAGCCCCGGTGACAGCGGAAGGGGAGCCATGGCCTCGCCGTGTTATTTATAGTAGCTTGCTCCGATGCTCGCCATTCCTTTGGCACAGGGAATGTGGACTGTGCATAAGCAACTATCAGTCGCTCTGTCATGAACTCCCCAGGCCTGGATTCTGACGCATGCATGAGAAATCTTGATGGATTATCTTGTTGATGTCTCTGCTGTGAAAGTCCACCAGCACCTTTTATTATTGGGTCAGCTTCCTAACTGAAACCTTGTGTCATTTCTTCCCAGTGAAGAGTCATTTGTTAGGAACAACGAACATTTTCCACTGCAAACTTAAACTGATCCTTTGGCTAATGCACCCTTATGTTAATGTCTCTGTGAGGAGCTATAGCAACAGTTATAGCTGATTTTTGATTTATTTTTCTCCCATAGTGCTGCACACCCTTTTCCTCTTTGCTGATGTGTGATGCTCCCTTTGCTTTTCCTCTCCCTCAGTGCTTCTCTCAGTCAGACCTCCTCTAGTCCAGCTCCATATTCCATTCAGAATGCACCTTACTCAGGATAGAAGAGAGAATTGGAAAACAAGAGGCCCCTGGTGAAGAACTTGTTCCATCAGGTGGTTTTTTTTGTGTTTTCACATACATTTGTGCCTTACATAAGTTAGCAGTCACAAAAAAGTCTGCAGTAGCTGCTTTAAAGCTGCCCTGATAGATCTAATTCTGCCTGAGGGCATACATGTATCATCAATGACCTCTCAGGATTCCCTTGCAGCCTTGTGTAGTAATCCATTACATCACTCTGTTAACCTCATCGGGTTTATGGGCACAAAAGCCAGGGTAACAGCTCATACCCAAACAAAAAAGACACTGAAGGGTGACAGATCAGGCATCTGAGCATTCAGTCCCTCTCATTTCCTCATGCTGTGGACAGCCCACCCTTGGATGAGTGTGGTCACCTCCCTGCAGAGCGAGCAGGGATGCTTTCAAAACACTTCAAAGCATCCTGTGCTCCAAATCACACATGTCCGAAAGGCACACTTAGCTGAGACCATTAGCAAATTTATCCCAAGAACATGGCCCAGCATCTCCCAGCCTATTCTTTTCCTGGCAGACTTGAAAGAGAAATCACAAAAGCAGCCTGTTCTTACACATGCTCTTGTTTCTTTTCCTTGGGCTTTTTATTCATTAGGACACAGGACTTTCTTGATAGGAAATGACAAGGGACCAGTGCTGGAGGTCTGATAATTCATGGTAAGCACCCACTGAAAACTGATGGTACTTCTGTCCTTTGACTCCAGTGATACATTAAGGAGCTGGAGTAGCCACTGCCTCAGGGAAATGGGCTGTTTTGGACACTTTGTTTCTTTCTAATTAGTTCAAGTTAAAACATTCTGCCTGCAGCTTCACAGATGTGCCTTTATTATTTGTAAATAATTGCAAAGCATTTTCTGGAAGATTTGGAGTTAAAAGAAGAAAATGTTGGAAAATATGAATTAATGAAGAGACATCCCTTTGCCTTTGCCATTCCTCTGCATCAGAACAGCTTGAAGTAGGAAGATCCCATTGATTGCAGACCAGCTGATTGAGAATGGAGGGGCCTGAGCTGTTTCGATGGAGCTCTACATCTGGCAGTATTTTGTGCATGATCCAAGTAGCTCAAGAACTCTCACATTCTCCCCACATTGGCCACCTTTCCTACAGCCACTGAAGTCAGACCTTCTCAAAAAAGTTCTCTGCCCAGCACTGAGCTCCTGGTGCCCCTGCAAAAACATCTTTCCTTAGGCTTGTTGGAAGCCTGCAGGATCAGACCCCTCGGTCTGAAATCTCTGTCCTGCCCATGGTGGGGATGTGCTCAGTGGTGGTGCATTTGCAAATCATTTGCTGCGCTCTAATCTCCAGCCCACAGGAGCTCAGTAAATTGATCCTATACTTTCTAAACTAAGCTTAATCTTTCATTGTGTGCCTCGTTTAGCTCACAGAACAGCAAGGCCCATGTTTACCACAGACAATTCCAAGCACCCAAAGAGGGAATCACTGTTGGTGGAAAGTGCAGTTTCTATGGATTTCTCCTCATTTCATTCTAGATGACATCATAAAGCGCCACAGGAAAGAGCAGATAGATGCCAGTGCCTTGGGCGACAGCAGAAGGCAGCAGGTCAAGAACAGGAGTTCAGCCTCCGGATATGGGTGGCCGCAGTACCGACCCTGGAAGCAGAGGAATTTGCAAGGTAGATGGGCACTTGAGATAGCAGAGGCTGGCCAGGCTGGGAAGTGCATTTTTTAGCAAAATCCATCTGTTAAATCCTTCTCCTTTCCAATTTCTGTGTGCATATAAGATGCACTCAGGCTCTGATTAGCTTTTCTCTCCATAACCATGGAATATCAGGGCCCTTTCAGAGCATAATTCGCCCATTTCTCTCCCTTCCACTCTCATGAATTACTGATTTAAAGTGACTTAATATCTATTCTCTATTCCCCTTGGCTTTGCATATTTTAATTATGCCTGTTCCTAATCCTCATTTTCCCAGAGCAGATTTAAATTATCGAAATTACCCCCTCAGTAACTGTATTTGATAGCTCAGTTATTGAAGCTAAATAGTCACTTTTGCCAAGCATGCTATTTTTTATGGTGAGGTTTTTTTATAATATCAAACGTTCACACCTTTGTTTCGTTCCACTGGCTTTTACCTACAAACCAAAGTTATCTGCTGCATGAAATGACATCTCTACAAACTTTTTTTTTAATTACTGCTAAGTCAGTCCCTGAAGATTTTAGTGATATTTTGCAGAAATATCTTTTCAGTCATACATTGGAGTACCAGTCACAGATCAGGACAGTGGGATCACTGGGAGATATTCTGCTTGTCTCTGCTCTGCCTCCCACCTTTGTGTTCTTGGTGTCCACCTCACAGTGCCTTACTGAGGATTGTTCTAGTTCAAATCATAATGGTGATAAATGCCCTTAGCAAATTGATTTTTCTGTCAAAACCCACAGGCTTTGATATTCTCCCTCACTCAAGCAATTACTGCATTCAGAGGCAAATCCAATAAAATATTTTTTCCCTATTTCTTAGATGGGAGAGCTTTTCTGTTAATTTATATAATTATTTTGGCTAGTTTTAGTATTTCATAGGTTTCCAATGAGTCTGAATTCAGCCCTGCCAAGTGCAGAGACCTGCCATGCTGTGTGGTGCTGATTGTCAGTGGCAATTTGGGGAAGCTCAACATGACTGGGAATTTAGCCCATAATTCATATGGGGCTCTGTTCACTATGGTCACTGCTGAAATGCAGTCCCTTCTGGGCTGAGATGTGATAACCATTATCAAAATGATGATCTGAGGAGCCCAGCACTGTAATGACAGAGGAGGCGGAAGGGGTAGTATGCTGATTAAACCAGCAAGCAAAATGCTGTTAATCCCTCTTGGAATATGGCTTAAACCTTTTCCCTAGTGGGGGAAAGATGATTTTTAATTACGAAAAATTAGAATTTCAAATCTCCTTGGAAAAAAGAGTCTGTCAGACATGGAAATTTACTCCCACTCTGGACTGGCTGAGCAGAGGTGCCTTTTGGCCATCCCAGTTGTGTTCAGAGCCTGGCTTTGAGCACACACCCAAACATGGGTGGGCGGGGGTTCTTCCCCAGCTGCTGATGGTGGGGGGTTTTATTGAAATGTTCTTACATTGTATTAAATATCTGCCAGGCCTTTTGCAGACATGAAGCCTCCCACGTGTCACACTTCAGGACACAGATGACAGAGCAAGGCCTTGGTCCCCAGCTGGTGTGATGGAGTCCCCCTTGGAGGCTGATGGCTCTGTCATGTGTTATTTGTGTTGAGTGAGTTGTGCCTGAGTGCACTGCTGAGCACAGGCTCTCTAATAGGAACAGACTGACAGGGACACAATTTTCTAGTCAGGGCTACCTTCTGCAGCCATCCCTCCCATTGCCCTTATGGAGTATCCACGAAAGGCAGCTGAGCTCAGTCTCTTGTCCTCTCCAGGGTGTAGGAGAACTGTGCAGCAAAGCTGGGTGTCCAGGAGGAAAGCAGTCCAGCAAATGGGCAAGAGATAGGGACAGGCCCAGGGTGGGGGCTGAGGAGAAACAAGATTTTAGGGCTAAAATCAGACTGGGGGAATAGAAGCAGGAGAAAAAAATCAAAGGGACATTGACTACAGCAAGTCCACATGTGGTCAAAAAGAAACGGTTTGCCAAAATTGAATGTTTGTCACGAGAGGAACATTTACATACCAGCACTTCTGCAATGAGAGGGCATTGTCTGCAAAGGAAACAACAACTGACCCCAGAGCTTGTGAACTGTGTTACATTTTTGTGCATGTTCTCAACCAGCACCTCTGGCCATGGGGCATGAGCATGGTTTTTGGGATCTGCTTCCCAAGGGCCTCTACTGTTGCCCTCCTGTTTTAGAGCCAGAGCAGCTCAAATGATTTTCAAGCATGTTCCAGTGCAGGCAGCTCCAGCTGGTACTGGCTGGTGTTACACCCTGAAGCTGGAGCCTTCATTCATTGTGGCCGTTGTGACCCCTCACAGCAACTACACTGCTTCCTCAGAACATTTCCAGTTGCTCCAAGGCAGTATAAATTGCTGTCATGTAGCAGTCAATGATGAAAGACCAATATATGCACCTCACTTGTCTGTGCTTTGTGTCAGTGAGATTCTGCTGTGAGATCCAGGTTTGAGTGCACTCCCACTGCCCTCTGCCATGCACAGATTTGTGCCTAATTTATACAGCCTCCAGGTATGGGCACATATCACTGGTATAGCAGCTGTTGGGGGGAATGGGCTCAAAACAGAGGGGCTTAAGTGACCTTCTGGGGATAGCAAAGTCAGAAGCAGCAGTGAAGGAAAACACGTCTACTGCTGTTCACCCTCTGTGTGCATTGAGAAGTAGAACATCTGGTTATAGATAATAGAGGTGTTTGGTGGACTTGGGCCACCTTCTGGACATGCTTGAGCTCTCTGCCTTGGTAACAGAGATCAGAACACAGCGTGGTGATGACCCTATTCAAGCAAACCCTTGATAAACTGGTGTGAAGGGTAGCCTGGTGATTCCCCAGCACTGGGCCAAGCTTAATGGTGCTGGTGACCAAAGTGGCTCTGCTTAGGTGTTGCTTCAGGGTTCTGCTGGTTTGTGAGGTAACAGAAATAAATTCCATCTTGGCATTCTAGCCGTGGGTTTGTGATTGTTGTTGTGACTGTGTCAGCTCACACAGTGACTCAGAAACTTTCTGAGTCTCTCATTACAACTACAGAATTGTATTATGTGGTGTAATTAGGTTTGGAAGCACTGTGCCTCAGTCTGACAGGGCTTAGGGCTTTCCTCTTGTTCAGCTCTTCAGCACTCTTCAAAATCATCAGCAGGCTTAGGGGAGAAGGTTAAATGCAGGATGGACAGCAGGTGTGTGTGTATCATATAAGAGCAGCTGGAAGTTTCCCCTTCAATACAAGAAGCTATGGTGTGTCAAGCTAAAAGATAATAAATAAATAAATAAATATAAACTATATTATGATGGGGTCCCTCAGAGCTATTTCAGGCTGCTGTGGGGTTGGCTTTGGCATGCTTAATCATGTGTATATCTGTATCTAAATGCTTTTTCTGTTTCACAGCAGTTAATTCATAGCAGTTTGAGCTCTGACAACAGATTGACATTTCTCCTGATGTAGGTATTCCTGTCTTTATTTTATGAGGAATCAGAATTGTGAAAGGCTTTTCTCTTCTTTATTCTTTCACATCAAATAATGTGTATGGCAGTCCTATACACAATAAGAGTCCTAGAGAGACATTGGAAAGATTAATTATTTAATATGAATGAGTGTGACTTTTACACCACTATTTCTGTAGATACTCCTGTTTCACATTAAGTTAACCTTGTAATCTATTTATGAAACTAATCATAAACCAAATTTTGAATGATGCTAAAGTAAGAGGGCTTTGTTTTTAGGACCTAACCATTTCAGAAGAGGGTTTGGACAGCAGCAATTCAATCGGAGACAATTCAGGAATGCTTTACCTGGTCGCAAGAGAAGAGCAGCTGCTGCATTTGATGGAGTGAGTCCTTTAAATCGCCAAGCATCAGCTCAGGAGGTAGGGGAATAAGGAAGGTATGGCTTTTCCCAAATGTCTTGTAGAAATCGGATCAATTTTATGATCCTGGATCACCCCAAAGAACAATCTAAATAAAAAAAACATCTTTTAATGCCTGTGCACAGCATTTGTATGCATAGGTGAATACAGACATACATGCATATGGAATAGCAATTTTACAGTTAATTTTATAGAGCTGCTGTCTTAGCATAATTTTACTGATCAGTTCCCATGGGTTTTGCCAGAAAAGATGTTTTTTAAATTGGTATTAAATGGTTTAAAAATATTTCCATAGAAATTAATTCCGTGGCATTTCATCTTACTATTATAATTTAGAGGAGGTGTGTTAAGATTTTTTATTTGTTCTCTACCCAGAGTATTTTCCAAGCTCCTGTGAAGTCAGAGGACAGACTTGCTGACTTGTTCAGAGATATACTTTCCACCAGAGACACTGCTTCCCACTGCTGTGACAGATAGTGTGAGAGGCAGCTGGGTTTTCCTGCACTGATGAAAATCCACTCAGTTAGGAGGTCATAGATGTTCCATAAGCTTTTTTAAAAAAATGCAAGTGCTGAAAAGGATGGCACATTTAGTGACTGTGTTGTAGGGATATAAATAAGAAAACTCTAAACTGAGCATTCATGTGCAAGGAGTAAGGTTATTCCTGAAAAGAAAGATCAGGATGACTCAGATACTGAGTGTGCCTGGTATTTTACAGAGAGTAATAAGCAGTTGCTAGGAGGCAGAGTTCTACAGTAGCTTCCACTTTGGAGGAATAAACCAAGGGGGAAGAATATGGAAATAGACTTCAGTTAGTTGGTACTAACATGATGGTAGTTGTCCCACAGAAATCACCAGGCTGGAGCCTGGGGCAGTGTATGTTGGAACTGCAGGTCAGACCCTGCTGAGGGGTCGTCCGGTGTGTTTCATTCATCAGGGTGTGGTCCAGGCAATGCGCATGTCCAGACAAGAAAGAGCTGATGATCAAAAGGAAACCTGAGCAGGGCTGTAATGCACAGATTCTGTGAGATTTGCTCTGCATGGACTGATCTTTGTTTCTTCTTTGGTTTCTGCAACATTAGAACAAAACATTCTCCCTGGCATTTGTAGTTCCATGTGCAGGAAGCAAGGCATACCCCCTGATTGTTGACAGCAATGTCAGAGAAGAGCAACATCTTGTGTGCTGTCCCTTGCCCTCACTGCCTGTTCTTGTACCAAGATTGTGCTTCAGGTGACAGCTGCTGAGATCTCACTGCTCTTTCAGGGCACCAAGAAGAACAATACTTTTGCCAAAAGCAGCAGTGGGCAGCAGGAGGAACAGCCACAGCCATCTCCAGGCACCAAGAGATTCAGAGCAGATGCTGCCAGCATCTGCACCCCAGAGAGAAGGTAAAATCTTTGGTAACTCTGGGTTATTTTGGTTTTCAGTGGTTTTTAGCTGTGCAACTCATTGGATTCCTCTCTCTGTATATGCCAGCTTGGTGTGGCTACAGCCATGTGCATGTGCAGCACCAGAAAAATACCCCTGACTATGTTAGGAAGGCACCTGGAAAGGAAACAACCTCACACTCATAGTTAATAATGCCAATATTAATCTCTGATTTTATTTCAGGAAGCACAGAAAATGTGACCTTTGTATTTTTAATAAACTTCCTTGTTTTGGGAAACACTTTTGAATGGTGAAATAGCATTTATTTTCATACAGGCAGGAAATACAGATTCCAGCCCTAAGGGATGGGCAGAGACAGGGCGTCTGTCCCAGTGAGGGGCTGCAGGAGCAGACTGTGCTCCAGGAGCTGTGAGGAAGGCAGTGTGCCAGGTGCTGGGCATGTCTTAGTGCCTGTCTCATCAAGATCATTGTGTTCTCTGAGCTTGAAAGGAAGCTCCTTGGAATCCTTCCTCATCTCTGAGCAGAACAGGGACTGAATAACATTGAGAAGTCCTTTCTGACCTGATTTTTTTTCTATGATTTTCCTCACGTTATTTGCTTTTAATGAAAAAAGCTCAGAACACATAAACTGTTGCCTCACTTGAGCAGAAAATCAAGTTCCTCTGAAATCCTTTGCTGGCAGAAAAACCTGTTGGGCTGAACTTGGTAACACACAACCTCATTTGCTTCTTACACTGCTTTTTAAGACCAGCTTGGGTTAGATATTTTGGCATTAAATGTTAGAGAGAACTGGTATCATCCTCACCTCTTTGTCTCTCTTCTTTACCAGCAGGCCTTTCCTGCTGAACAGGGGATTGGCGTTCCAGCAGAAGCGGGTGCAGCAGTGGCTCTCCAAAGCCCGCTTCCAGAGAGGGGTTAGTACTTGAGACATTTCCTCTGCAGTCTGCTGATAGTGACAAACCTTCATGTTTTACCAGCCCAGTTGTAGCTTTGCTTCCAAAAGTAACTGGGTGAGAGAGGTGGAAGACCTGCATGTATTGGTAGGAAACTATTTGCAAGCAGTTTTTAATGCAGTTTGGTATTCTGGCAGCTGGGAAGTAAATCCTGGGAGGGTGATTAAAATGTGCCAGTGGGAAACCACAAATTAGCATGTTTCTTGATAACTCACAAGAAAGGAGCTCTTCAGATACACCAAAGAAAATCCTGGAAAAGGAGTCACTGTTTCTGAGAGCTGTTTCTTTTAAGTAATTGTTTTAAAATATATTTTACAGCAGATGGATTCTCAGGGAGAAGGGAAACCGCCAAGGACGAGAAGGTAATTGCGGAACAAAGGCATAATGCAAATATGACAGCACTTTTTCAGGCTTGAAGCTGGATAAATCTCCATGTCTTGGCAGGTGGCAAGTGAAACCCAGCCCAGGAGCAATTCTGACTGTTTCTGTGGTTAATCCCCAGGCAGGCCAGCCCAGCCCGTAAGTAAATGAGGTGATTTGTTAGTGTGGGAGCACTACAAAAGCCATTGCAAGTTCCTTTAGCATTATTGCAGCTTCACTTTTGTAATGAGTGTGCAGTGAATGGTTCAGACCCAAAATGGTTAGCAAATGATGTCTGGTTCATTTCCCAGCATACCAGAAGGAGATGCAAATTTCCTGCATTTACCTGTAATTGCATGGTAATCTGTAATTATCTTTCCTTCATTTGTTATGCAGAGTGAGGAGAAATGGAAGCACCATTGTGGGAAGAGGTGGCAGGCTGGTTGTGCTGGTTGTGGGGTGTTGGGAGAAACAGCATGCCCCAAAGGGAGACTTCAGACCTCGTGCCCCCTGTGTAAGAGGAGCTCAGAGGCTGGAAAGGGGCAGCTGCAGGACCTGGCATCCAGCTGGGGGCAGAGAGAACAGTGGATGAGGGCACTGTGCATGTTCTGGGTGCAGAGAGCACCCCTCAATAGCCTGGAAGTGACAGCCCCCAGTGCTGGAACTCTACCTGCACAGCTGCTCTCCTGGCTTTGCTAGGGGTCAGACACACCATTGGACGGGTGGAGTGTGCAGGTGTGACCTTTACTCTGTGTAGATTTGCAGAGGGTGGTAAGTGATCTGCTTTAGCATCCTGAGTGATTGCAGCTCTGTCCTTTCCCCAGGCCTGGATCCAAGCGCCCATTCCAGCGAAGCTGGAGACCCCCAGCACGGGTGGCCAAGCCCCAGCCCAAGGGGGTGCTGCTGAGATTCAACTTCCACGCCATGGCCAACCAGGTAGACAATTGTCGACCGGACAGGAGGCACTTGGCTCCCTGCAGCAGCCCTGCCACTGAGCTGTTAATGTCACACTCAGGTTTTTGGGGCTGCCAGCTGGGTTTATCTAACACAACCTGGGAGGAAAGTCCTGTAACTATGTTGGCCAGGTTGCTTACAAAACTGAAGGCACTTGAGAAGACTGTTCAGCAGCTACAGACTCAGCCCAGTTTTCCCCACTCTGATGGCCTGTCTTGGCCTGTCCATGTGCTTGCTTGGAGCAGGGAGGTCCTGCTGATGAGTAGTCCTGACCAGAGGGGATTGTTTAACTGTCAGTGCTTCCCATTCTTCAGAGATACATGGCACTTCTGGGCTTTGCTCGCTCTTTGCTTTGGTGCCCGTCTTGGTGTCACATTTTACACTGAAGTATAGTCCAAGAGCATTGGGGCAGCTGAGAAATCCCACTCCACCTTCTTCATTGCCAGCGTTTCTTGTCTGGATGGTTTGGTTTTACCTGATGCCTTGTACTCAAATGCCATCTGCTTGCTCCTGTTCTTGCCGAGGATGCCCTGTGTCTTGGGGCTGGGAGCTGCTTGAAGGTTTTCCAGCCACACACAATCTGTCAAGCTCCTTGTCTCTGTGTGCTGAGTGGTTTAATTGACTAACCAGCTGCGAATCACTAGCCTGACTGATGGGCTCTAATCAATACCCCGCTACAAGTTTGGCTGTGCTTTGCCACAAGACAAGGGACTGACTCGCTCTCGCTTTCCCCTGCAGACCAGCCTGACGCTGGATGAGAGGTTCTCTAGTCTGAGGAATAAGAGGCGCTTTACAGCAGCCAGGAGCGCCGGACGGACGGTCACCATGCCTTAGGACCGCGTGCTCGTCATAGGGACTGCATGTGACAGTCCAGGCTCCATGACAAGGCCTCAATAAAAGTCACTAGATTCCCTTTGAGATAGCTGATTTGGCAATGTGCTGTCTCCTTCCTTACACACAGAGTGAATGAGTGATTGAGGGCAAGGATCAGGCAGGATGAGAATGTGGGCCAGAGGGACATGGGCAAGGTAGTGGAGGGGAATGAGCAGAGATAGATTTACTGGGAGAGCTCTGCTGGAAAGCTGTAGGGCTGGCACCAGCTGTGTCCCCCTTCCTGGGCACCCTGTGCTGACCATGGTGATGGCTGATAGTGGGAGGGTGTACCATGGAGCCTTCCCTACATTGCTTGGTGGGTAGGAGGGTTTGAGGATGATGTGCCTGCCCACATGGGAGACAGGAAAGTGGAGATGTTGCAGCTGCCCACAGCCACCAGCATCCATCTAATTGCCCAACTTGGTGTGCTTGCAGGCATCCCTGCCCAGAAGTTTGCAGTGTAAGACTGCTCCACCCTGAAAACTTGTTGCTTTGCCCTGGCAGTCAGGCCTGCATACCTTTCATTTCTCTGTGGATTGCTGTGCTGTTCTGACTGCTGCTACAGGGATAGGGTGAGACATGCCATGCCGTGCTGCTGGAGTCACTGTCCACAGCATGGAGCAAGACAAGCTGCCCCAGCCCAGATCACATTTTCCAGTGCTGAGTAGATCTGCATTAGAGTTTTTGTAGTTGCAGCTCCACCTGTGCTCAAAGCAACAGCATAGTCAAACCAGCAGCAGCACTCTGATAAACATTGGGTGAGATGTTAATGAGCTGGGTTTAGATATTTGTTAATGAAGCCCTACATCAGCCCTGAGTAACTCCTCCATTCTCCATCCACTGCTGGAACCCAGCACTGAGGATGCTGGACACAACCTGTTACTGGGCTCTAAGCTATACTTATAACAGGAAATATTTGATAGACTGCTTTACATTTTGCACCAAACATCTTTAACAAGAGACTGGACTTGGCATTCATTTTGTAAGAATGTGTGAAATGTTGTTAGTTGAAGAAGCAATGCTGTATGAGTCCAGTGCAGTGAATAAAAAACTTAACTTGTCAAATATAACCTCTGGTTATTTCCTTTTCTTCAACAGCTCTTTGATGCAAGTTCAGCTTCTCAGAGTGACAATGCATGGGCTGGTGCTTTGGGGGAAACTGGTCCCCATTGGTACCCATCTGCAGGTAGTTTACTGCTTTAAAAGCTGGCTCCAAAGCAGTGTGAGGTTTTCAATAGGTATTTGGTAAAATTTTCACTGTGGTCTCTTATGCCTTGAATGTTACTGGCAAAATTATCAGAGCAGTCCTGGCTCTGAGTATTGTCCCAGACTGAGAAGCAAGATGTATTCATTTGCCATCTGTATAGCAGTTGTCTTCTGTTAAGTGGGCAGTTTTTCCTTATCTCTTCCACAATCAATCCTCCCTCAGGGGAGACATCTGCTGATAATGGGCCACTGAATGTCACTGCATGACTGATAAGAACTAGAACATCCCACTGTGAGATGCTCTGCCCAGAGGGAGGAGCCAAACATTTCTACCTGCATATAACCTTGAGTTTCTGGAACACCGGCACAGCTTTTTCTGCACTGGATTTCCCAGAGGAACAGCTGCCTGTTCCACTGCAGGAAGACTACACCTTTCCTACAGGATCACTGCTCCGACAGAACCACACCTGACACTCCAGGAGCACTGCAGCCAAAATTCCCAATTGGACTGCGGCCAACACCCTGACTAACAGGGTGTCAGGTTGTATTCTGATTCTGTCAGTGTTGTTTTGGTTCACTGCATTGTTTATCTTTTTTTTTTCCTTCCCTAATAAAGAACTGTTACTCCTGCTTCCACATTTTTGCCTGAGAGCCCTCCTTAATTTCAATTTTATAACAATTCAGAGGGAAGGGGTCTACATTTTATCATTTCAGGGTAGGCTCCTGCCTTCCTTAGCAGACACCTGCCTTTCCAAACCAAGACAAGTATGTTCAGAATTAAACAAATGCACCCCAACACTCAGGTTAATGAATTCTATAGGAAACATCATCCCTTCATGCAAATAGTCTGTATGTCATGGAAATTGACAAGTTGAACAAGAAACACTGTCACAAATGGCAGTATTCCTAATTTCAATTGCCTCATGACTATAAATATGGACAGAAGACGGCAGACTTGCTAGGAAAACATGAGTACTTCTTCAATCAGATTGCAAAGGGACGGAGCCATTCAGTCCTGAAAGAATAGCTGAGTGGGAAGCATCCTTTTGCTTTTCAGATTGCACCCTGTTTCTATTCTCCAAATAAATGATTTTTAGCAATCTGTACCTTATAATCTTTTAACCGCTCTTTAAATTTATGTTGAGGGCTTAGGTGGTAAAAACTGGTTTTTTTCCTAGCTTGATTGCCTTGCAGTGCTGGGTGACTTTTTATGTAGCAGGATATAAAACAGGCTTTGCACTGAATTCACAAGCAGCCAAAATGCATAACTGTCACACTAAAAACATACTGGGAGAGGGCACAGTGTGAACTCAGCAATAACCCATTCTGCCACAGTACTAAACCCACAGAATAATTGTCTAAAAGAATTATCCCTGCTGTTGTCAACAGAGTGAACTGCTGCACAGGGCTTGCCTGTCCTTTGGGAAGGGTATTTGTGTGACACAGTTTAGCTGCTTCCTGAGCCATCACTGGGGCACATGTGCCCTGTGCTCATCCAGTGTCTGACAGCTCCCGTGCATTGTCCTGTGCTGGACAGGTGGGCCAGCAGTTCCCCACCTGGGGACTGGCAGCATCTTGCTTTGGCTGAGCTCCCAGCCAGGATGGCTGCACAAAGGCTGGGGCCACTGTGAAGGGGCAACTCTGTGACATGAAAAACTTCTACTCTTTCAGGCCAGGCAACACCACCTCCAGAGTAACACCTCCAATGGTGTCTGAGAAGTTTAAAAATGATGGAGCAACTGCAAAGGGTTAGAAGAGAGTCCCCACAGTGCATCTTGCATCCCAGGGGAGGGAGGACACCAGTATAGTTGTGTGGCCCTGCTTGGTCACTGCACGGAACCCACAGTACCATTCACCTTTAGCCACTTGTATCATTGCATTTCACATCACTTGGTGGAAGATTCTTCCAGTATTGCTTTTTGCTTTCTATTTATCTGTCATTCCAAAGGGCCCCTGCTCTGCTTCACTCTTATGAGCTGCAGAGCCACTTTGCCTCCTGCTCCATGTCTGCAGGCAGAATCATCCTACACATTTGGCTCAATACCAGTCTGAGTTTATTCATCCTCCACCCTCTCTGGCTGGAACCTTAACCAAGGACAGCAGTCAGCAGTGTTTATACAGGTTGGCCTGATTTTCTTGTTGTGAATCTGGGGAATGATTGGTTTTTTCAGGGAAAGAGCAGAAGCTCTGGCCCAGTCAGACTGGCAGATATTCATCTGAAAGCTCAAATCCCAGAGCCCCCACAAGTACCCACAGCTAAGGCCAGAGGAAGCAGACAGCCACAATACTTGCAGGTGACAATGGGACCCCTTTCCCCCAGAGCTGCATTTTGCACACTGAGCTCTCTGCTGGAAGGGCAATCTGTCTGCCAGGACAGGGTGATCCCCAAATGCACACAGCACGGCACTGCAGGACTGAGGCCTTCACTCTTCAGGACCTGCTCAGAGACCTGTTGCTTCTCTTTCGACCGCCACTTTGCTCTCGGGGGTTTCTCGCCGCTGTCCCCCGTCTCTCCCTGGCCCCCCGGGACCCTCCGGCTAGCTGTCCCCTCCGGGGCCAGGGTTTTCCACGGTCACACTGCCCTGGGCTTACCAGGCAGCGTCTGGGTTAGCACGGTCCGAGCTGCGGCGCTGCCTCAGTCGCCGCAAGGGTTCGAGATAAAGAGACCAAGAGAGACCAATGGTATGCTTGTCCAGAGAGATTGTATTGCCTGAAGCATTGCAGGGACCAAAGGCCCTGGGCTATTGCCCAGATACAGTTTTATACAGCAAAATTAAGAGATAAGGTCTTAAACAATAGAGACAGTGTTCAGCTAAGGCACATCAGAACCACCCCAGGGGCCAGGTCCAATGGGAACTGCTCAGGGGTGGGGAGAAGGGGGCCTACAGAGGAATGCTGAAGCGGGACTTTCCCGAAACAGTGGAGCATACATAAATGTATCTTTTCCCTCAGTTTCTCATTCCCAAAGCCTTTCTAAAACAATGGGGCATACATGAATGTATCCTTTTCCTCAGTTTACCATTCCCAAGGCCTTTCTAAAACAATGGGGCATACATGAATGTATCCTTTTCCTCAGTTTACCATTCCCAAGGCCTTTCTAAAACAATCCTCCATGCTACCATGCCAGCATGACTGCAACAGAGACCCTGGCTCATTGGTTCTGCTGAATTTCACCCAGACATCAGCCACATCATATTTCAGGTCTGGTCCTTTTGTGATCAATAATGGCTCAGCTGTCTATCAGTGACCTGTTGCTGGCTGAAGGCCAGTCTCTTCCATAACCCCTAGAGAGGGGATTTCCCTTAGATCCCCCAATTAGGCATGACATATGCATGCAAAAATAAACAAAAAAAACAATCCAAACCAATTCAAGAATTCAAGGGTCTTCCTGAGGTTCAAGGCTTAAAAGCAGATTTTGCTCATCAAACATATGACAATTGCATTAAAATGTGTGTCTTTGAGGCTTTCGTTAGCATTTCCTAAACACAGCTCCAGAGCCATTTCTGGAAGAGAAATATGCAGCACCTACCAAGGACTGATTACATGGTACAAGAGGTAATTAATTATCCATCCATCCAGTCTCCCTGCAGTTCTGTAGCATTTTATTCAGGTAACTGGTCCCTGGACCTTGCAAGGGGGCTTCTGATTTATGTCCCCCCACTGCCCGTTTACATTCTGAGCTCTGCCCATTTGTGTCTGTGGGTCTTTCGTGAGTGTTCCTTCACCCATTTTAGGGTGAGCCGCTCGCTAGTCTTGCCTTTGATCTGCCACAGCCGATTCGTGGGTGATTTTTGCCGCTGCCACAGGCGGGGATCCCCAGTCCGTGCCCGGCAGAGGCCACGGAGGCTGTGGTGCTGCCGGCGCAGGAGCGCTGCAGGCCCGAGGAGCGGCCGATGCTGTGCGATGCCGGGGCAGAGGCGACGGCACCCCCGAACGGTGCGGTGAGGGCAGCGGGCAGAGCCGAGCGGCCCCACGACCGGGCAGGGCCACGCTCGCAGCGGCGCCGGAGCTGCCGAGACGATGTTCTCCGTGTTCCTTTGGCTCCGAACGCTCCCCGCTGCCTCCCGAACGGCGCCCCCCGCGCCCGCTCCCGTCCCAGCTGCGGGACCCTCCCTCGCTCCCAGGATGCCTCCGTTGCTAAGAGGATCCCGGTCCTGGTCCCGATCCCCTTCCCGACCCCGATCTCGATCCTATTCCCGTTTCTGATCCTGCTCCCTCAGCTCCAGGCAGCGCCCCCTAGCGGCATACGAGCCGTCGGGCACACAGCCGCACGGCCCCTCAGGCGGCGCCGCCGTCGCGGATTGGTTGGCGCGGCCGAGGGGCGCCGGTAAGCCCCGCCCAGGACCGCGGCGCCCCCTGCGGGCCCCGCGGCGCCTGCGCAGCGGTCCCGGCCGTTGTTGTGGTGGGGCCGGTCAAGATGGCGGCCGGGCAGGGGTGCGGCGGCGGCGGCAACAACGGCACTGGCAGCGGGACCGGGACGGCGGCCGGGAGCGGAGCGGCGGGGCTCAGCATCCCCGCGCACCTCACGCTCTCCTTCTCGTCCGGTCCGCACTGGGGCGCGGCAGCTCTGCCGCAGTCGCACACGGTGCGCAGCCTGGAGCGGGCCCTGGAGGAAGCGGGCAGCTCGGGCATCCTGTGCCTTAGCGGGAGGAAGCTGCGCGACTTCCCCAGCAGCGGCTGCGACCTGAGCGACACCACGCAAGCAGGTGAGGGGGCCCTGGCAGCGCCGGGCCGGGGCTGCGGGCGTCCTGCGGGACCTCTGCGGGCCCGGCGCTGAGGGCGGGGGGCGTGGACCCGCTGTGGTGGCCGCTGAGGCCGGGCGGTGGTGTTATAAGTTGAGGCGAATAATTTGATTCAGCCTTTT